TTTAATCCTTTTTCCTTATCTTAGCTGGAAAGGAAGTTAAATGAATAATGCTATATATTGTTGATTAAGATTAATGTTCTACTATATATAATTATTAAAGTTTCAAAAAGATTCTTGTTTACTATTTGATTATGCGTTGTAGCCAGAAAATATTCAGCTATTTTTATATTTTCGATGGCAATTCGTTCATCCGCCAATGATTACTTTCAACATGTTGATATAAATATATCTGTGATTATTATATGAGCAACTTTAATTTTTCTCTAGCAAATATTTCAACTGTAAAATAATTCACACTGCACTTAAATACCTTTCATAATATAATTTATAGTTTGTATTCGATTAACTATTCATTGTAAATGCAAACATTAAAAAAATACATAGTAATATAGTCTGTTCTGATTATGATGTTGGTGAAATAAGTCAAGGAAAATCAATAGTTATGTGATCAAAAACTATTAGAAGTTCATCTTCTGATGACAGGTCGGATCAAGAGTGACTCGTAATTTCTCCGATTTCTTCATCAGTCAAGCGTCGTTCTTTTAAAGTTGTCATAGTGAAAATGTGTAAGGTTGGGCGATGTAATATATGATTATTACTCAAAGAATGCATTCGAATCGTCTTAACGGTTGTCTCTTACTACTTGAACGATGCGTATATATATATACAACGATTTAGAAACGGTAAGAACTTACTAGACTTTGTAGATAAGACAAGACTAACTAGAATTTTACAGAAAGATAGCAACTAAGCAGAGAGTATTTTAAGAGAATTATGCATAACTAATACAAACAAAAAAACGAACGAAAAGTGATTCTACTGAAATGAGCAATGATACGTATCACCATATGAAACGAAAGAAAGTGAATACAAGATAGACATGTAATACTAACAAGCCTAGAGGAAAGAAAGAAGCATGGCGTTTGTTTGATATCACCTAATAAAAGATGAAAAGATATTCCAAACAGTTAAAGAATATACTAGAAACATATTTGTTTGATAACCACGTTTGAGCGTATATATATGTTGCCGGTAATCAAAGGATTGAATATTATTTAGGCAAAAAAATAAACGAAATAATTAACTCACATCACCTATCTTCCTCCTTTATCCTTAATTTTCAATCTATCATTTAATGTTCCGCATGACTCTCTCATTAAAACGATATACATCGCAGGTGAAAAAAGAAACTCGTTTTTCACGGTTTGACGTCAAAAATCAACGTCTCGAATGACTAACTAGAAAAAAAATATGCAGTGGATATTAAAAAAAAAGATTTTGTTTTGTAACACTTATTAACATTTTTTGAAGAAAAATGATTGTTTAAGTTTTATTTAATTTAAGATTTTTTGACATCCTTTTGCCTCTTTCTACCAGCAAAATGTGCAAGTAAAAACTTTTCAACATATAGTTTATGTGAGTTTCATGTTTTAGTCTCAAAGGTACTATGTTATACTCATAAGATTTAGTATTCATACATTGAAAAACAGTCATATGTGTCTTTTATAGTATATTTTGAACAAAACACAAATATCTATCAATAAGATTGCGTTGTTTTATTTTGATCAGTCCTTATTTTTGTTTTGATTGCGTTGATAAATGTGGTAATGTTTATACTATTCGTATTACGACATATATTTTCTAACGCCTTCTTTGATTTAATCATCACTCATATCTTGAAAATATTTTCCATCGTCATTAAAATTTCGTATAAAAGGACGATATTGCGATATATAATAATTAAAAAATCATTATATACTGTATGACATAAAGGTAAGTTGCATTATAAATCAAAAATAATTTTTATATTGAATGAAAATTCGTCATATTAAATATTTGTATTTGCACTCGATGAATTGTTGAATTATTTATATCAATCTTTAGTTCTCTCATCATTGGATTTCATGGAGATTGAATTGAAAACAATTGAGCACTCATCGGATGATCGACATCATCCGAATGAAGTAAATACTATCACTACGTCACTCGAAATAATCGAGACAAACCATGATGATGATAATGAATACGTATTGGAGAAGCCAACGGAAGAAGAGTTTGTATTGTTTGTTAATATTACTAATCTAATAAAGATGTATTTTCAATAGAAAAAGTCTTTGTCTACGAACAAGAGCAATTACTGAACGTATCATAGGATTCGTTGTATTCGTCAGTATTTCCATGATTATCGGAATATTAGTCGTTTGTTTTACTTCACCAAAACCAAGTATGTTCTTTATTTATTTTATAATTATTTTTTGTAATGCTTGTATATAATTTAGATAATATATGTCAATGGAAATTTCAATCAATAATGAAAAGTTCGGTTATTAGTAGTTCACAACCACGTGCAGTTTCTGTTGGTGATTTTAATAATGACGATCAAATCGATATGGTCGAAGCAAATTCTGGTACAAATACAATTGGCGTTTTTATTTTAGATATTAATGGAACAATTATCAATCAACAGACATATTCAACAGGTGCAGGATCCCGTCCATGCTCTGTTGTTGTTACTGATTTCAATCAAGATGGTTATATTGATATTGCTGTAGCAAATAATGGAACGAACAATATTGATATATTCATTAACAATGGAAATGGAACATTTCGTAATCAACAAATGCTTTCCACTAACTCTTCTCGTCCATCGTTTCTTGCTGTTGGTGATTTTAATAATGATAATCATTCAGATATGGCTGTTATTTATTATGGTACTGATAATATTGGTATTCATTTAGTAAACAACGATGGAACTTTTCAGGCAAATGTTACTTATAGTACTGGTTATGATTCATTCCCATATTCATTGGCCATTGGAGATCTCAATCACGACAAACAATTAGATATCGTTGTTACCAATTATGGTACAAATAATATTGGAATCTTTTTTGGATATGGAAATGGAAAATTTACAAATCAACAAATTTATACAACAACATCGAATTCACATCCAACATCTGTTACTCTTGGAGATTTCAATCAAGATAATCAATTAGATATACTTGTCTCGAATTATGGTATTGGTAGTATTGGTTTATTTCTTAATCAAGGTAATGGTACTTTTGCAAAACAAATCCTACATCTAATTGATTCTCAATCTCGTCTACAATTTATTACTGTTGGATATCTTAATATGGATAAATATCTTGATGTTGTTGTTGTTGATTCGGAAAATGATCGTATACATATTTTGCCTGGATATAATAATGCAAGTTTTGGTACATTAACAACATATGATTCAATCGCTGGATCATATCCATATTTTGTTGCAATTGTCGACTTTGATAAAGATAATCAATCTGATCTTATTGTTGCTAATTATGGTACCAATAATATCGCAATATTATGTGGTTATTCAAGTAAACCATCTGTTCGACAAACAACATACTTTATCGGCACTGATTCTCGGTTATCATCAGTTGTTATTTATGATTTCAATAAAGATGGCAAATTAGATGCAGCTGTTAATAATTATAATGATGGTTATGTACTGATTCTCAATGGTATTAATAATGGAAAATTTATTCGAGGAGATTCGTATTCAACAGGCAATGCATCTAGTCCAAAGTATATGCGTCTTGGTGATTTAAATAATGATAACCGAATGGATATGGTTGTAGCTAATTCAGGAAGTGATTCTCTTAGTACTTTTTTTAGTAATGAAGATGAAACATTTGGATCAATGAAATCTTATTCGACTGGTATTGGTTCACAACCTAGGTTTGTTGCTCTTGGTGATTTTAATAATGACACTTATTTAGATATTGTGTCTGCAAATGTTCTCGCAAGTGGAATAAGTATATTTTTAAATGATGGTAATGGGAGTTTCAATGATAACGAAATATATTCGACTGGTGCTTATTCTCAACCTTATTCAGTCGCTATTGGAGATCTTAATAATGATAGTTATCTCGATCTCGTTGTCGCTAATCCAGATCTTCAGCCAGTTGGCGTTTTTCTAGGTTATGGTAACGGTAGTTTTGGCGTGATGATACAATATCCAGGCGATGATTGCCCAGGCAATACTTTTATGGTCGTTCTTACAGATTTAAATCGAGACAATTATTTGGATATGATTGTTACTTGTTCAAGCTATGGAAATGTACTTGTTTATCTTGGAACTGGCAATGGCACTTTTCCAACGCCTGTAACATTATTTGTTGGAACTGGTACATCCCCATACTATGTATATGTTGCTGATTTGAATAATGATCAACATCTTGATTTTGCTATCACTTGTATTACAGGAGATGAATTGGTGCTTTTTTATGGAGATAGTACTGGAAATTTTACGTTAGCAAGAAGATATTCAACTGGTTCAGGTTCAGCTCCATATGCTTTGATTGTTATAGATTTGAACAACGACAAACAATTAGAATATGTAGTTACTTATTGGGGTACTGGATATTTAGCTGTATTAACTGAATATTATGCTGCAGAGTTTACTAAACAATTCTCCTATAATACTGGATCTGCTCCACATTCATATTCATTAGCCGCTGGTGATTTTAATAATGATAATCAATCAGATGTTGTTGTTGCTAATTCAGATACCGATAATATCAATATATTATTTGGTTTAAACAATGGATTATTTATGTCACCACTGACGTATTCAGTTGGAAGTGATAGTTCTCCACAATATGTTATCACAGGTGATGTTGACAAAGACAATCATTTAGATATAGTTACTTTAAATTCAAAAGAAAATACGATGAGTATAATCATGAATTATGGTAATGGAAATTTTTCTCAACAAAAGAAATATTCAACTGGATCTAATTCATTTCCAACTAGTATAGTTATGGGCGATCTTAATAATGATAATCGAACTGATTTTGTTATTACAAATAAACAAGATGATAGTATTGGTATTTTTGTTGGATTTGATTATACATCATTTCAAAATCAAATAATATATTCTATCAACAATACTCAACATATAGGTGCTATTACAGTTAGCGATTTTAATAATGATAAATATATTGATATTGCGGTAGTTTATTGGGGAAGCTGTCAATTAGCTATATTTCTTGGTCATAGTGATGGAAATTTCAGTCTATTAACAATTTATTCGACAGGATCTAATTCTACTCCGTTTGAACTTGTTGTAAATGATTTCAACAAAGATAATCATGCTGATATTGCCATAGCTTATGCTGGAAGCTATGCGATAGGCATTTTTTTCGGGTATGGCAATGGAAGTTTTTCTAATACAGTAACATTTTCGACTGGAATTGATGCTAGACCATATGGTTTGGCTGTTGGAGATTTCAATAATGATAATCGAACAGATATTGTCTCAGTCAATACTATTGCTAATACTATAGGTATTTTTATTGGAGATGGTATGGGAAATTTCACTCTGATGGAAATATATTCAACTGGAAATTCAACACACCCAGAGGAAGCAGCTGTTGGTGATTTAAATAATGATGGAAATATGGATATTGTTGTATGTACTTATATTACCAGTGCTGTATATGTTTTTCTGGGATATGGTAATGGAAGTTTTCAAGCACAAGTATTATATTCCGTAGGTTACCAATCATGGCCAACTTCAATAATTCTTGCTGATTTCAATAATGATAGTCGCTTAGATGTTGCTGTTAGCAATTATAATGATAACAATGTGGGTATTCTTCTGGGATTAGGAGATGGTACTTTTGGTAATGTTAGTAAGTATTCGACAGGTATCGGAACTAGACCTTATAGTCTAACCATTGGTGATTTTAATAATGATAAAGTCTTAGATATTGCTGTTCCTAACTATGGAACGAGTACGACTGTTATTTTATTTGGTTTTGGTGATGGAACATTCTTATTAGGTACTTCTTATTCAACTGGTGAAGGATCTTCCCCGAAATCGATAGCTGCAGGTGATTTCAATCGAGATGGACAATTAGACATTGTTGTAGTTAATGTTAATGCAAACAATTTCGGTATTTTTCTTGCATATGGTCGTGAAACTTATGCAGGTGTAATAAAATATCGAAGTGCTGATGGATCACAGCCACAATCGATTGCTCTTAGTGATTTTAATCATGATGGTTGGTTAGATATTGTGGTAACTAATTATGGTATTGATAACATTGGTATTTTATTTGGATTTGGAAATGCAATATTTAGTCCTATGATAACATATTCAACAGGAATCAATTCTAGTCCATATTCTATTGCCATTGCTGATTTCAATCACGATAATCATTCGGATATTGTTGTTACGAATTCTGAAACGGATAATATTGCTATCTTCCATGGTTACAGTAATGGAACATTTGCTCTTACAGCATTGTATTCAACAGGTACTCGTTCTCGACCTTATACAGCTACTGTTGGTGATCTTAACAGCGACAACTATTTAGATATTATCATTGCCAATTCTGGTACAAGTAATATATTTATATTGTATGGATATCCAAACGGAACATTTGGAAATGAAACTTCATATCCACTAGGTTATGGAAGTCTTCCATATTCAATTGCTTTAACTGATTTAAATCAAGATGAAAGAATGGATATGGTTATAGCATGTTATGGTACAGACAATATAGATACATTAGTTAAAATGTGTATTTAATTCTTTATTTCTATTAATAACTATTTTGTTTATCAATAAATTTTGTTCATTTCTTCTCATTTTTGTTTTTGTGAAATTTAATGCGATTGAACAAGATATGTTAAACTCATATTCATATCTACATTCATGCCCTCAAATATTGTCAATTTTTTGAAAAGCAGAAAAAAAATAGTACAAACTTCCGGGGAGTTTCCTCCAAGGAATTCCTCAGGAAACTATTCTTCTCTTGATTTGATCTAATAAACTGCATTCTAAATTTTTTTTATGGGCAGAAATCACAAAGTGTCAATGTATTTCTATGAGAAAAGTGTTGAATTATGTTAGATAGATTATGTAAATGTCATTCACCGTTAATACTCCATTAAAATACATAAGAAATATTGTTTTCATTTTAAATCATATAATTGTATTTATTTCAAAAATCGGCTACATGGATATTTCACTTTTTTATTTTATAACATTCGCATGTTTTCTGTATGCTTACGTTTGTTTGAAGAGTGAGTGGATGTAATTGTTTTTGTGTAGGAGACAATTAAAATATTTTTGTTTTCCAAACTTTTTAAGTTTTTCTTTTCTTCTTGATTATTTATATAAACAATGGGTGTGGGTGTGAGTGCGAGTTAAAGATAACACCCACCTCACAAACAAAAAGAAAACACTGCTTTTGAGTATTTCGTCTGAATACTTAAACCTTCATCAAAACAAACAACGATGAAACATTTTTTATCTCTTTAAATACAAAAGAATAGTCTTTCGATTGGCAGCAATTGTTCTGGTGGATTCATCATAATTCCTAAGACTGTAGGCACAAGAGAGAGAGACACACAAATATAATATCTCCTGTTCTATCTTAGGTTAGCTTGAATTTATTTATTCAATTATTGATTAAATTTTTCGAAAACTAATCTTGGATATATCATGAGAAGTACAATGTCGATTAAAAATATTCAGCAGGGTAAAACGGTTTAAGGTGCAGCTATTTAAAAAGAAGAAGTCTTTTTTTTTGTAGAGTGCAATTGTATGACCATTAATCTTGTTTGATCATATCTGCACATTTTTCTCCAATCATCATGCATGTAATACACGGATTAACAGATATCATTGTGGGAAAAATAGATGTATCAGCAATTCTTAAATTTTTGATTCCTTTAACTTTTAATTGAGAATTAACAACTGCCATATTGTCATTGTCTACATTACCCATTTTGCATGTTCCAGCAGGATGAAAGAGTGTCGTAGTCGCTTTTCGACAATAATCCCATATTTCCTCGTCAGTTTGAATTTGTACTCCTGGAGATAATTCGCATTTCGTCCATTTTTGAAGAGGAGTCTGTTCAATGATTTTTCTTGCTAGTTTCAGTCCGGCTATCATTACAGCTTTATCATGGTTTTGTTCATCAGTCAAGTATCGACAATCGATCTGAGGCGGATCCAAATAGTTATTTGATCGTAGTTGAACATGTCCTCTACTTTTAGCCTTGTTCACATTGAATGCGATTGAAAATGCATGTTTTTCTGACGGATAACCAAATAAATTGTTTTCTATATCGTATGCTTCTATACCAAAATGAAACATCAAATCAGGTTTAGTTGAATATGTTTGAGTTTTAAAAAACAGTGCAGTCTCCCACCGTTGAATTACAGGATCCGGTAAAGGATAATTCGATTCCCATATGATGACACATTCTGGATGATCCATTAAATTTGAACCAACTCCTTCAAGATTAAGAATACATGGGATATTCATTTGTTGTAGATGGTGTACTGGTCCAATACCCGATAATAAAAGTAATTTTGGCGTATCAAATGCTCCACTAGATAGTATACATTCTTTCATCACTTTAATATTCTCATTGGTATTTGTGAGAACTCCAGTAACAATCATACTTTCTTGGTCAATGATGAGTTTAGTAGTAGTTGTATTAGTTAAAATTGTTAAATTAGATGGTAATGATGAAATCGGATGTAAATAAGAACGAGAACTTGAACAACGATTTAGTCCACTAACATTCAGTTGAAAATATCCACAACAATCGGAAAATTCATTAACAAATGCATCCGAATTCATTTCTATTTGTGGGATGTTGACAGCCGTACAACTATCGATAAATGCTTGGTTTAATGGATTCAATGGTGGAACTGTTTGCAAATTTACTTTCTCAAATACTTTATTATAATATTTTCGCGTAGCTTTAGAATTCCAACCTTGTGCTCCCAACTGTTCCCATTGATCCAAATCATTAGCCGGAGGTATAAAAGCTATGGCCACATTGATAGAACTACAACCACCTAATACTTTAGCTCTATTATGAATTATGTCACTGCTACCATATAGTTGTTTTTCAATCGAATATTTGTAATCAAGTTCTGTACCAAGTAAACTAGCCCATTTACGAATATTTGCTACGTCATCATTTCCTATAAAAAGAGAAATGGCGTTAATGAATATAACATTACTTATGAATGCACTTTCTATTTACCTTCATCAGATGGTCCGGCTTCAATAAGACAAACAGTCACATTTGGATTTTCAGCTAGTCTTCGAGCTACAATGCAACCAGCAGTTCCACCTCCACATATTACGTAATCGTATGACATTGACTAAAACATATCATATTATAAAAATATTATGGATGAATATTGTTGAGGATGGATAAAAACGTTTTAGGATCTGTAATTTGTTATGAATGAAATCTTCATTAAACCACAAGAAGAAACTCAGTCATTTTCTTATGCCTAGTAATAATGACGTTAGCTTGTAAACGCCAATGATCGTGATGACAGAACGCAAGAGATTGTTAGTGACGAATTGCAAATTAAAAAGTATGCAAAAATGACTTGATTTCTAAATATATATTCTAAGGTATATGTTAAAAATAAGCACCCCATCAATGCATATATAGATAACTAATATTAAGAACCCTATACGTTTAAGATAAAAACAAATGCAAATTCTGAAAAAAGAACGATGCTCGATCATACTATTCTCTCTTCTTTCCAATAGAAATGGATGTGGACTAATCTAATACATCATATATAACAGATAATGCGTTATCTTAAAAGATGGCGCACTAGTATTAGAAGCGCTCAAGGTTTCAAACTCAAACGCTGCAAAATGGGAGTTCATTGAAAATATAAGAATATCAAATCGAGAAGCTAAAATTTCACTTATAATAGCAAAGAATTAATAATTGGCTAAGAGAAAGAATATCAAAGATATATTGTAAACGACCTACACATAATTACAAAAATACAATAAACAAAAAGAACTCAAATTTGACAACTAGTTCATTTTAGTAATTCGTGCCATTTTAGATGCAGCAATTGATTCAATCTGTGTAATGAATAATATTGAATTAATTTGTATATTTGCTGGATCTGTAATACGCCATTCAATTGCTTGCATATTATCGCCTGGTTTTTCTTTATACTGTGATGTAGTGCAAGGATAAGTACCATAACTATTACTCTTAACACTGCATTCTAATAAAGGTATTAATTGCTGATCACCATTGACAAATGGTATTGCATATGCTGGATCTGAACTATAATATATACTAGGACTTACAAAAATTGCTGTAGAAAAATCAGCAACATTAAAAACTGGTTTATCACGTGCAATATGATTTTTCGGTGGATTAATACGTTTTCCACTGCTAACTACGGTACCGGGTATAACGAATCCATCAAGAAGAATTGATCGAATGACTTCTATATTTGTCCCATGGTAGACCACATGAGGAAATGATTTTGTGTCTCTTTCGTGAATATTCATACATTTACAAGGTACAGGATTATCTCTTGATATTAATGGTTGTTCAAGAGCAGTTGCGATAAACATATCTATAGGTAAAGCCAACTTCCCAGGAATAATATCAACATGACGTATAAATGCATGAGTACCGCTTAGTGTCGATAAACGTGTTCGACGAGTGTCTGAAGTGAACCAATAAGTTGAAGGTGTTGCTAAGGTGTATAAACGAGCATTTGGTTGATTAGTAATAGATACAACAGGTAGTTCGACGAGTTTTGGAGTATCTGAGTAAAGATCTACTTTAAACAAGCAAATACATCCTGGTATATCAAACTTTTCACGATCAGGTGAGAAAATTATTGTAACTTTGACATCAATATCATCGGTTATACAATTTTCGGCAAAAGTAAACATTAAATCATCGATGCTAACTATTTGTTTTTGTTTAAGAGGAGCTTTCAATGAAAACTGTTCCACTTTACTATGAGCGTCAAGCAATTTGATAAAAGACCGCAGGTCTGATTTAGGCTCCTGACGAGTTGTTTGAGTTGACAATGTTTTGTGATCAATTAAACGTATAGGTGTATCAATAAATTTTGAAGAAGTATATCGAGCACAACCTACAGCTGATATGATAGTTGTATTGTCGTCTTGAAAATGTAATGCACGACGAGCAATAGAAAAATGACGATATTGATCCAGTGAAATTTTAGATAACGATGTCAATAGATCTTTATATTCATCTTTGAGTCCTACTTTCACTTTTCCGATCGGTTCCTGTTCCATACCATCATCTTCATATATATGAATCTCAATCAATTTATCACTTTTTAAATTGCTTTTGTATTTTGCTAAAAGTTCTATAATTTTACTTGCTATATTTTTTTCTACTTCTGCAGATATATCTTCATCAAAGACAGTAGCTCCAAAATCATTTTTAATGTTTACATCAGCTTTATATTCGAGTAAAAGTTCAACGATTGCAATATGACCACGAAATTTTGCACCATGTAATGGAGTACTTCTTGGTTTAGCCGTGGTTTGTATATTCACATCAGCTCCATGTTCTAATAACCATTTTGCAACAGAATATTGTCCATCGCGGCATGCATGATAAAGTAAACTTCTACCATTTGCATCTGTCATATCTTTTGATTTTTCATCGAAATAATAATAAAACCACCAATCTTTACCTTCTATTGCCATTTTAAACATATCATATGCACGTATAAGTTTGAAAATATCAATAATACGATTTCCATGTTTACTACCTTCTTCTTCAGCTGTTGTACCCCATCGATTTTTAAGTGTTGAATCACAGCCAGAATTTAAAAGATATTCAACAATCGAAGTATGACCACCATAAGCAGCGAGATGTAAAGCAGAATTTCCATTGAAATCGACAAGATCTAAATTAACTAGTTTTTGTTCTATAAGCCAACGTACAAGATCATCATAGCCCTTTTTACTGGCACATTGTAATAAGGTTTGACGCTGAGCAAAGTATTCTGTATCTTGATGCTGTGTTAAACCATTCTGAAGAAACCAATCAAGTTCATTTGCAGCTACTCGTACGTAAGCATTTTGTTTAAGTTCAGCAAATACTTGTTTTACATCTTGATTATATGCTTCATCTTCAGCTGTATTATTGCCTGAATTTTCTATTCGATAATCAGCTCCACTTTCTAACAGACAACGAACAACATCTGCATGTCCATAAAAAGCAGCAACATGTAAAGCTGTACTTTTTGTACGTTGTGATAAATCTGGTTCAGCTCCTTGTTCAGTTAAAAATTTTACAGCTGCTAAATTACCAGAACGAGCGGCTGTATAAAGTGTTGTATGACCTGTTACAGAATCTTGAGCATTAAGTTGTGTTAAATTAGCAGTACGTAATCTCTGTTTAAGATCACGTAATAGATCAGGTTCAGCAGCTAATTGTTGTGGAGTATAGTTTTCAATTGATAATTCGGAGATCCATTCTTTTTGAGAATCATAACGTTTGCGTTTATCAAAGTCAGATAATGTTTCATATGCACGACAAATACGTCGAAAATTAATTGCCGATATTTTCTTTTGTTTATGTTCATGAATTTTTCTTCTATATACCCCACGCAGCTTAACATAGTTAATATCTTGAGGAACATCAAGTATTTCAAACGGTGATTTATCTACTGTCGCCATTATTTAAAAACGTTTCTGCCTATTTTACCAACTTATATACGCAGTGATGATGACGCACTTTGCTGGGTTTTTTCCTTTGTTGTAAAATTTCTCTCATTCTTCAAATTTAAATATGAGTCATTTGTTTTTTCTTTTGTTGTAACTCAAAACTCTTTTTGCCTGTTCTCAAGTTTGCGCACGTGTACTAGTTGTAAATATATAATTTGACTTTTATGTTTGAGTCAGTTACTAAAGAAACGAATTGATTAAAACATATTTTATTTGGCTTATAGCAGAGTTTATATTATTCTATAAACATATTTTTTTTTCAAATTTCATTCGTATCAAAATCACTATTTTCTCGAATCCAGTCAATATAATTTGATACTCGTGTATAAATAGTTGGTTTCATCGGAGTTGCGCATTGTTCACCATAGGAAACAATTCCATCGATTGTATAACGATTTATATCAGAAATATTTCTTTCAATATATAAACCACCACCACTATCTCCATGACAAACATCACGTTCACCTTGAAGATCACCACAACATAATTGCGTATGCCAATTTTTTGCTATTGATGATGAAACATTTGAACAATAATCATTTGGATATACAGTTAAATTAACTCGTTGAAGAGTAATTGAACCTAAAAATTATATTTCGTTTAACAAATTTTCTTCGATTAAATTACATTACCTCGATTTGCACC